TGATGATTATAAGGCTTTAAGTTTATAAAAACGCTAGAGCAAAAGCAAGAAAACAACATTAAATCAATTGTAAACGTCTTCAGATGTAATTCGAAATCGACTAACTTGTGCTCAACATATCATATTGCTTAAACATAATATTTTAGTCACTCATTTCACTCAAAATCCCAAACTTTCTGAAAATTTCAATATCAACTCAAAGTTTATGGTTAAAAGTGTCTTTGAATGTTACCAAATTGCTGTTTAGTATACAATTAGAGTTAAATTATCTGTGCAGTTAACGTTACTAAGCCATTGGCCCCAATATCTAAACCTTGTGGTTCTATCACAGTCTAACTACTACTAACAGTCGGTCATCGAAAGTGTCTAAGCGTGCCATCGTGCGGGGCGCGACGCGGACGGAGCGCTCAAGTTCGCGAGCGACTAACGGCCACTTGGGAACTTGAACGCTGTCCGCTAGAGTTATCCTGTCACGCAAATAAATTAAAATGGTTCACACTATATGTACGGTAAAATACTGGGGGTCATGCTGATTTAAAAGATAAGAAATTGGAGTTATAATAACGTATTTTTATTATTTTCGAATACTAATTGCATGTATATAAACCAGTTTTTATTTTTTATTACTTTACGTTCTGACAACCCTAGAAATTTATTGTTTACGTCGGCTTTTTCGACAACATCAAAAGCGGTGACTGACTGTATGTTCTTCTTAGGCTGTGGTTCTATTGTGCATTTTTGACATGAGAATTTAATTGTTCTGTGTAGTCATTTCTAACTTAGTCTAATATTATTTCTTTTAAAAAGTCTTCAGGTTCTGATACTGTTTAAGAAAACAATTATTGTATCTATTTATTAAATCTTTCCTCACTCAATTTATTTATCATTTTAATACATGTTATCCTAATAATTTTTACATACTAAATCCTTAACATTTTATTCTTCCTTCAAAATCTCTATAAAAATCAAAGGCTGTCCGTTAGTCTTGCTAAAAATCATAAACGGCTCGACCGATTTTGATGATTTTTTGTGTGTGTTTGCATAGGTCCTTAGATGGTTTAAATTCGCATTTGGACCCGGTAGGTGGTGTTGTAGACAACTAGAAATCACCAATGCGAAGCCTAGATCGCTAGTCTATACATTTTTTTATAGAATAGGTTGACAAACGAGCACACAGTTCACCTGATGGTAAGTGGTTGCTGCGGCCCATTGACATTTATCCTCGACTACAAACCAAAATGCAGATGCGTTGTCAACCGTGAGGACTAAGATGGAATGCCTTGTTTCCAGTAAAAAGGGTCTCCGGTTCTCTGCACTTACCATACGAAATACAGCAGCATTTAGCTACTATTTCACGCTGGTATTCTGTGAGAGCGTGGTCCTTCACCGGTCGAGCCGACCCATTTGTGCTACAACTATACTACTAATATAAATGCAGCATGGCTCTACCACGTATAACATACATAATAAAAATGTAAATTGCAAATGTCTGTGCATTTAATATTTTTGTAGCAAAGTTGATTGAGAGGGACTAAAATATGTAATTGAATACATTTCTATAATTTTTAGAATTGTCTGTTTGTTTGTTAACGTATAACATTAGCTTGCGTGATTCCCACGTGGGCTCATGTTTTGTGTTATTCGCGGAGAGCGGGACGCTGTGTCTTTGGTGCACACTAGAATAGCAGCCCACACCAAGAAACATCGCCATACTGGCTCAGGATAGACAGAGGATGAGCTATTCTTCAGGTATTTATTTCATAATATCTGCGGTGTTAACTAACTTATCTTTCTACTGTCGTTAACGCTAATAGAAAACAAAACTTTAATTGAAATTTTAAAACTTCAAACGGCTGAACAGATTTTCTACTGTCACTCGAGAACCTATTTTCCCCATCGGTTGTCGGTTCTTCGAGCTATACGACCGGCCCATTGCCACTAACTACAACCCGTTGGGCTATGTCAGTTACTCTGGTTCTACTGAGGATATCCTCGTTTTTAAGTCTATCTGAAAGAAATACCAACCATATTTCTTGCAAATAAATGTGATATGATTTTGATTTGAAAAAATATTTGTTTTTGACACACATACAAGTCACCAGAAAACAGAAACAAAGTCAAAACAAAAAAAATAACAATTTCAAAAACGAACAAACAGCCAATTAACATTATTTATACATATATATATATATATATATATATATATATATATATATATATATATATTATTTGAGAAAGTAGTTTGTTCAGAACCGTTTACTGAATCGATTCCTATCATTTTTAATATATGTAATTTTTTATCCCAAAAATAATTAAAACTACGTAAATTACAGTCACACTAAATCTGTACAGTCAAAACAAACTGAAATGGACCGTAACTTAAGGCAATAAGACTTTAGAGTGCAGTTTTATTTATATTATTACTAATTCTGTCATTCATTAAAAATAAAGAAAAATGAACTTTATTTCAAGCACGTTAAAGTCGTTGCGTTCGTGACTTTGTCCTGCGACCACAACATTCTTCCGGAATTGTATAACTAATTTGATAAATAATCAGTGCATAAAAATGTTTAACTAAAAATTCAGTGTATGTATTATGGTTATAACATAATATACTAATTGCACCCCAATTCTGATCTGACGGTGTGCGTTAATTACGTTACATATTGTACATATATATATATGTATGTATATATATATATATAGATAGATACATAGGATTCAGCATGATATCAAGTCTGAAACCTAACGCTGACTTTCAATTGAAATGCATTCGTCTTCACCTCCGAAACCAGTTACCGTGTACTTCCGCAAGAACAATCAGTAAGTATACGTGAACTCTATGAAAAAAACATATATAATTACTTATATAATAAATAATTGATAAAATAGATACATAACAGAATACAAATTAAATACTTAATTATTTACAAGATACAGCGCGTGAAACTGTACCAAGATAACAACATCAACAAAAATAAAACATAAAATGTACCTCTCAAATAACCATCACGAGGCCTCTGTCACTCTTGCTACCTGTGTGAAATAATTACTTAAAATCGCGACGCGCCCGGGCGAAATAACGCAGTCAGGGCTAGCGCGTTGGGGGCGATTGAATGTTAGTTTTTAACGCTGTTTACGTAAATAGTTTTATATAAATACTTGTTGAAATAGTTTTTGTTTAGTGTTTAGTATATTTAATTGTAGATAAAAATAGTTGTAAAAGTTTTAATGTATTTTACTAATTATTATTTGATAAATTATAATAGCAAAACGTCGTTCCTACTATAACTGTTGCGTGGATGGATACTAAATGAAATGACCAACAAAAGAATTCATCATTCTTTAAGTTACCGAAGAATTTTAGAAGGAAGTTATGAAAAGGTGAATTTATTTAATTTTTTTTGTTGGATATGTACTTACAGCAAAAAAATTAAGTAATAATTTGGTCTACAGAAGAAATACCTTAGTACTTTATCACAAAAATTAGTTAAAATTTACTTCACTATCCAAGTATTTACTTACATACCTATACTTGTCTTTTGTAATTAAAATATTTTAAGTTATAATAACACAAAATACTGAAATTAAAACTTTGTATACTAACAAGATTTTTAACTAAGTAGAATACATTTCTGTTAGGTATAGTATTTCAGTTTATTTGTTGTTTACACTATTCTGAGCTATGATCGAATGACCATACTTTTGCCCCTATGTGAGTTCTGCGATGCCTAACGCATGCAAATTGCAAGGTCATTCGTCGGGAATCGCAACGCTTGGTTCGGAAGAAATAGCTAGATAGTGTAAACAACAAATAAACCTGAAATACGATTCCTAACAGAAATGTGATCTATTCTAGTTACTTAAAAAAACCTTTTTAGTATACAAAGTTTTAATTTCAGTATTTTGTGTTATTATAACTTAAAATATTTTAATTACAAAAGACAAGTACAGGTATGTATGTAAGATATTACTTGGATAGTGAAGTAAATTTTAACTATTTGTAATAAAGTACTTAGGTATTTCTTCTGTAGACCAAATTATTACTTAGTTCCTTTTTGCTGTAAGTACCTATCTAACAAAAAAAAATTAAATAAATTCACCTTTCATAATTTCCTTCTAAAACTCTTCGGTAACTTAAAGAATGATATGAAACATTTTGTTGGTCATTTTATTTAGTATCCATCCACGCAACAGTTATAGTTATGATTAGTAGGAACGACGTTTTGCTATTATAATTTATCAAATGGGTAATATACATAATAAATAATTTTTAAAACACATTAAAACTTTTACAACTATTTTTACCTACAATTAAATATACTAAACACTAAACAAAAACTATTTCAACAATATTTAAAAAAAGTTATATACGTAAACAGCTTAAAAAAACTTTAACATTCAATCGCCATCAACGCGCTAGCCCTGACCGCGTTATTTCACCCGGGCGCGTCGCGATTTTAGGTAATTATTTCACGTAGGTAGCAAGAGCGATAGAGGCCCGATCATTGTCAGAATAGGTACTTCACCTAAGTAACATAATTAAAATTTCGCAATGTATTTTTTTTTCTTTCTATTGACATCCCTTAATAACCACGGAAAGTCCGCAGTGACTTAGGAAGCGGAAAAGATGAAAAGTAATATGGACACCAACGCGCAGCGATAAAGTTTTATTTGGCTTGCGTGCGCGATTTATCTGATTAATAATAATTATGTAGGCTATTAAACATCAGCAAGCAGTCGACATCAAAGGAGTGCAACTTCTGTACGTAGTACTATTATTTATTCTGTGCCATCACTTAAAGGACATGTTAATGCTTAGATCTTTTTGTGCATTTAAGACGATACCCCGAGCAAAAACTTGGGATATTTGCGTTGCGTCCTCAGGACTTATTAGACGACGGCAGAGCGCAGAGTGAAACTATGCCAGCAAAAGATCTACAATTGCTTATGATGGAGGCACGACAATTCAAAGAGGAAATGACACCACACGTCTCCAAATGAAATTACTGAATGGCACTTTGCTTGGTCTGGCGCTTAGAACTGATGAATCCTATGGAAAAATTGAAAAGTTAGAAGCCAGTGTGGGTCTTCTGGAAGGTCGTAATAGTAGTACGGTGACCGATGTTGGTTCTTTGCTGAACACAATTGAGCAACTTAAGTTTGATTTGAACGAGCCTGATCAGGAACTATTGTGCAATGATATAGAGATCACTAGCATCTTTGAAGAGAAGGGTGAACACTTAATACACATTGTCATCACTTTGGCTATGAAGTTGGGTGTCAAACTTTCTGAGAATGATTTAGTCAGCGCCACATGGGTGGGAAGGGTAAATGTGTCCCCGCAAACTGTGCCGGAGTCGCGCCCGAGGCCTATAGTTGTGAGGTTCGGCAGACGCACTCTTAAGGATCAAGTGTTAATGGCGACTCGCGATCGTCGCGGCATTAACACTGAAGGCACCGGGTTACCAGCTCCGCACTGCAGATTCTACGTCAATGAATGACTGACGAAAGTCAACCGGCGACTTTTTTGGCAAGCTCGTGAACTAACTACTACTATTATTTATATGGTATTACTTTAATACATATTTATTGCATAAATCTATTACTACTTGTTAAACAATATCATTTATATAGTACCCCTGGAGAATCCCTCGCTGAGCATCCACGACCAAATTACTCCACTCCTGAGTGTGGGTGCTCAGGCCCCGCGTTATCTGGGGTGGGGTGGGGGACAAAATTCCGCTCAAGGCAACAACTGATCGGGGCAAGCTGATCCGTCTTTCTTTGCATCCTACCCTTGGGAGCAGGTTTGCTTCTCGCCGGACGATCCCAACGTTGTTGCTGATTTGACACTGATGTGGTACTTCAGGGTATGGAACTTTTTATTGCTTCCTCTGTGGTGCCCATCGAAGGCAAATCTTAAAATTCTTTCATCTTCATGGTTTGGTCGCTCCTGTAAAATATTGAGTCCATACATAAGAAATCAGCGTTTTGTCATACTGACCACTTTGATCTGAAATATCTCCTATTTGGTTAAGAATTCCGAATTCAAATTTATAAATTCATTTAGCAGGTACATTTGAGTTTTGAAAACATTCATTTGTTTTTTCCTCATTATTTTTTCTTTGGCGTCGCTTGTGGAACCGCACAATGGAAAACATGAAATATCGGTATATTTACGAGTACGAGTTCTACCATGGCACAAGTGCTGCAGAAACATCTCGAAGGATTAATGATGTGTACGGCGCTGGTGTCGCAAAAGAAAGCACGGTACGTTTTTGGTTCCAACGTTTTCGTTCTGGATATTTTGACCTTCAAAACCAACCCCGTGGACGGCCGGAGACCAAAGTGGAAAATAAACAATTAAAGGCTATTGTGGAATCCATCACATTTCCATGACAAAGCACTTCAGAGATAACTGCAGGCTTCGGGGTTAGTGACAAAACTATATTAATCCACTTGAAGCAAATCGGGATAGCAAAAAATCTTGAACGATAGTACCTCATGAATTGAGTGAATCGAACTTACACAAAATAGAAGGGATTTTAAATCGAATCATTACTTGTGATGAAAAGTGGATGCTGTACGATAATCGAAAGCGCTCGTCGCAATGGCTGAACCCTGGAGACCCAGCCAAATTCTGCCCTAAACGAAAATTGACTCAGAAAAAGTTACTTGTGAATGTTTGGTGGACAAGCGCCGGTGTCGTTCACTACAGCTTTCTAAAATCTGTCCAAACGATTACGTCAGACATTTATTGTCGGCAACTGCAAACTAGCTACTAAACAACTGAGATTGGTCAATCGCTCTAGGCCACTGCTGCTTCACGACAACGCAAGACCACACACTGCACATCAAACAACCACTAAGTCAGATGAGCTACAATTGGAATATCTGCGTCATCCACCTTACTCCCCGGACCTTGTTCCAACAGATTACCATTTTTTGCGGAATTTGGACAACTTCTTACAAGGAAAAATATTCAACTCCGATGCCGCAGTCCAAACCGCCTTCAAAGAGTTTATTGATTCACGCCCCCATGGTTTTTTTTTTAGTAAAGGGATCAATGAACTAGCTATGAAATGGTTATCTATGCACCAAAAGTTCATAGATAACAACGGTGCATACTTTCATTAATTAAATATATTTTACAAAACCGGGATGTAAACACCAGCGTTCTAAAAAAGAAGTGTAATTCCGCTTTCAGGTCCTTCAAAAGAGTCATTGCCAAGGCAATGTCAGAGAACATAGGCAGAATTGGCGAGGAACTAGTTCCCCCTACTTCTGGAGTCCGTGCATTCTAGTCTCTCGCCAAGGATGTCCAAGAGAACTTCTGCCAGCCATCTCTTCCATCTCTGCACAGGGAGGATGACTCACTTGCCCCTGCCGCAAAGGAGAAAGCCGATCTGCTAGGCTCTTTCTTTGCGTCCAAGTCGACTCTCGATGAGGGGGGGAGTATGCCGCCGAACATCCCGTGGTGTGAGGTCGGTTCACACAGCCATGCCGGAGGTGCGGTTCACACAGCGCTTGGTTCGCAAAGCACTCCTCTCCCTGGACATCCACAATTCGAGTGGGTCTGACGGTATCCCCCCAATCGTGCTGAGGACGTGTGCTCCAGAGTTAGCTCCGGTCTTAACACGTCTTTTATAGTACTCATACTCCCTAGGCGTAGTTCCAAAATCATGGAAGACGGCTTTCGTCCCCCCGATTCCTAAAAAAGGCGACCGCTCAGACCCATTCAACTACAGGCCCATGGTCGTCACCTCCTTGTTCTCCATAACAATGGAGTCCATTGTAAACTCACTCGCTCGATCGCCAATACAGTTTCCGTCGTGGTCGATCAGCTGGTGATCTTCTGGCCTACCTGACACATAGATGGGTGGCGATAGTAGAGTCCAAGGGCATTGGCCGTAAGTTTGGACATTGTGAAGGCCTTCAATCGGGTTTGGCACAAAGAGCTTCTTTCGAAGCTCCATTCTCACGGGCTTCCCGAGAAATTGTGCAAGTAAATCACCAGCATTCTCACAGATCGGAGCATCAAGGTCGTACAACGACAGATTCCTCCTCTGATTACAAGCCTAGTAATGCTCGTGTTCTACAAGGTTTCGTGCTATCACCAACGCTGCTTCTTCTGCACATCCATGATATGTTGCAAACCGGCAACATTCATTGCTAGGAGAGATATGAAGTATCAGCTGGAGAGGACACCTGAGTCTCGTTTAAAAAGAGCAAGGCCGGCTTCGCTAGACGGTAGTGAATAGCGTTAAAATTGGAATGAAGTTGCAAAAATTCACGGAAAGCGTGGCAAGGCGACCGCCTTGGTATTGTTACTCCGCCTATCCCGAGCTGCTGCTGTTCAAAGCTGGTGATCTTTTGGTATACCTTACTTATAGAGGGCTGAGGCAGTAGAGTTCAAGGGGGAGGCATTGGCCGTTAGTTTGGACAGCGAAGGCCTTCGATCGGGTCTGGCACAAAGCGCTTCTTTCGAAGTTCCCTTCCTATTGAGCTTTCCGAGAAATTGTGCAATTGGATCACCAGCTTTTTTGCAGATCGGAGCATCAAGGTCGTAGTAGATGGTGCATGCTCTGATTATAAGCCTATTGACGCTGCTGTTCTACAAGGCTGCGTGCTATCACCAACGCTGTTTCTTCTGCATATCAGTGATATGTTGCAAACTGGTAACATTCATTGCTATGCAGACGACAGCACTGGTGATGCCTTATACACCGGCCGTACCAATATTTCTCGGGAAAACGTCTACGAGTACCGGGACAAACTTGTGTCCGAAGTCGCGTCATTGCTGAACAAAGTCTCAGATTGGGGGTGACTAAATCTAGTCCAGTTTAACCCTCAGAAGACACAAGTTTGCGCGTTTGCCGCTAAAAAGAACACCTTTGTCGTATCTCCTCAGTTTCAGGGCACTCCCCTTGTTGCCTCCACCAGTACCGGAATCCTCGCCGTCAACATATCAAGTGACCTGCAGTTTCGTGAACACTTGGAAGAGAAGGTCAAATTGGCCTCTAAAAAGCTTGGTGTGCTCAGCAGAGCACTACAGCATTTTATACCGGCACACCGCCTGCAACTTTACAAGGCGAGGTTCGGCCGCACATGGAATACTGTTCACATCTCTGGGCTGGGGCTCCCCAGTGCCAGCTCCTTCTACTTGACCGTATCCAGCGCAGAGCTGCCCGAATCGTCGACGACCGAATGCTTTCCGAGCGGCTCGATTCACTGGCGCTGCGAAGAGATGTGGCATCTCTTTGCGTATTTTATCGCATCTATCACGGATAGTGCTCTGAGGAATTGTTCGGTTTAATCCCAGCCGCCAAATTTCATGAACGCACTACGCGGAAAATCTCCCGATACCATCGACACCATCTGGATGCTTGGCGGTCCACCACTGTACATTTCACTAGAAGTTCTCTTCCGCGTACGACCTCTCTGTGGAATAGTTTACCATTGGCGATTTTTCCGGACCGATACGACATGCGGACTGTCAAGAAAAGAGCTTAAAGAGCAAATCTACAGAAGTATAACGTGACTTTTAATCTGTGAATACTTTTTACCATAATATTATCGTTAAAAATCGTATTTTCTGAATATCTTCGTAAAATACCAAGTGTTGCCAGCATAGTTCATGAAATAAAATTGAAAAAAAAAACGAATTTAAAGTAAAAAGCTGTCTAGGTGCGACCCTAAAGGTCCACACGACTAACTTCCCTGTGGAAAGAATAAAAAAATATCATATGTTTTAATATTTTATACAATTTTTCATTCGACACAAAAAACGACTTGACCGATTTTGCTCAAAATTTAATTAGGTCTAATTTACATAATAATACGTTAAATGAAACCGGTCCCATGTCAATATCACTCTTTGTTCTCGAGATACACGAGGCGAAGATTGAATCTGAACATACATACATACGTACATACATACATACATACTTACGTGTGCACATACGGACATCCTCTTAAAAAAATTACTATTCGACTCTAAAGATTTTGAAACGTGGAGATATGATAAAATTTCCAATTTGTAAAATCGGACCAATTACAATAACTTCCCACTGGGAAGTTGAATATAATTTACTACACAAAATAAATATATTTAACGAAAATTTATTTCATATAAACTAAATCAATTTATTGATGAATAATTATCATTACATTAAGATGTGTAGTGGATTTTGTCAAATGATTTAAATTTTCCAGACACGATTCTCAATCCAAACACGATTCTGAATATATTATTTAATATAATCGATTCGTACCAAGTGTATGCAATTTTTGTAAAATTAACTGGTATCACTGCAACCGAAAGCACACCAATGTAGTGATGTACGCTACAACTTTAGCTATCGGTAAGTTAATTAACCCATTCGGGCTTGTCTGTCGAACAGGTTTTTATTTTTTTTTAGATTTTATAATAAAGAATTGCAAAAAGTAGTAAATTTTCTAGTATTGGTTTAATAATAATAAATAAAAATAGGTATTCAGT